GAGGGGGGCAGGAGGTGGAGGGGGCAAGGGGATGGAGGGGTGGAGGGAGGGCAGGAGGTGGAGGGGCAGGGGTGGAGGGGGCAAGGGGATGGAGGGGTGGAGGGAGGACAGGAGGTGGAGGGGCAGGGGGTGGAGGGGCAAGGGGATGGGAGGGGGTGGAGGGAGGGAGAGGGGAGGGGTGGAGGGGCAGGAAGGGGTGGAGGGAGGGCAGGAGGTGGAGGGCAGGGGGGTGGAGGGGCAGGGGAGTGGAGGGGGCAAAGGGGTGGAGAGGGTTAAGGGGTTGAGGGGAGCAGGAGGTGGAGGCAGGGGTGGACATTGTCGACAGAGTTAGCCGAAACTTTCACAATCAACGGATGAGCGAAATGTGTGTTAGATTAGGTCAGGTTAGGTTAGGTGCTCTCACGTCAACTACGATCTCAACAACATGTAAGATCACCAAGTTATAGTTAATTGATGTAAGAACCTTTTACATATTTAATTAATCATAAAAATAATCACAACAAGAGTTAGAAAGGACTTGTATACACGAGACATTTAGTAAAGTCTTAAGAATAATGAGTGGCGAGTTCCGTGTTTAGGTGAACTCCCTGAGGAAGGTCACGAGACACTACGAGGACGAGGCTCTCATACGGCAGTCCTTACCTCGTCCTCATCCCCTCACACACACACACAGACACACAGACACACACACACACACACACACACACACACACACACACACACACACTGACCAGACCTCGGAGTCGCTGAAATTACACCATATTTTCAACCCCCTCCCTCCCCGTCTCCCTAACCTAACCTAACCAAACCTGACCTACCCTAACCTAGCCTCACCTCACCTAACCTAACTAATCGAAAAAATATATATTTATCGAACTGGCTCACTTATGGCACTTCTCTATCCTTCTATGGTAAAAATAAATAAACTACGACACTACCGAAAATATATGCGTAGTCACATTTCCAGATTGGAACTATGGATCACCTGAAGATTAGCCCTACAGCTCTTTTCACCTGATGAGTCAACAAGTATTACCTATAAGTGTGTAGACCATAAAGAGAGAGAGGACGGTTTACACTTCGTTATCAATAGGTCAAGGTCAATATCAAGGTAAAGGTCAATATCAAGGTAAAGGTCACTATCAAGGTCAATATCAAGGTCAAAATCAAGGGGTCTAGGTCAATATCAAGGTCAAAATCAATGGGTCTAGGTCAAGGTCAATATCAAGGTCAAAATCAAGGGGTCAAGGTCAAAATCAAGGAGTCAAGGTCAAAATCAAGGTGTCTAGGTCAAGGTCGATATCAAGGTAAATCAAAACGCAGAAATAGTAATAAATTATTCAATAAATAAACAATAGAAGGTATTCCCCAACAAAGGCCCATAACTCCACAAATCCCCAAGTTATGTATAAGAAATAGATTGAGAGACGTTGATGTACCAAGGATCATAAATTTACTCTACATCAATATACACCATAAACGTGGAAAAACTCAATATTGATGATTGTGATGAAAAAAATAAGTGTGATCTATAATAACAAACTTAAGAATGTTCTGTTTAATATTGACCATAATACAGACGCGAGATTGTCTTGATAATGTTGTTAAAGGTTTGGTAATTGATCATTAAGTCGTAGTTAATGATGATGACAAAAACAACAATAAAAAAAAAAAAAATAATAATAATAATAATAATAAATAATAATAATAATAATAATAATAATAATAATTGTAACCACTTTTAATATTATTATAATTATTATTAACTGCAGTATCCTAACTATAAATATTCTGTATTTTCTCTTTTAATTATTATTTTCATTGTTGCTGTTCTAGATGATATTATTTTTATTTTTATTTTATCATTAATATTCTCACTATTATTGTCATTACTCACGTCTTAATATCATTACTATATTAGTATATTGTTTTATTTTATTTAACTCTTCCGTAAATAAAGTTGAAAAATATTTACCTTGTCTTTATTACAATTTAGTCTCTCCTCATTTAAACTGTCAATTAACGATATTAAAATTGACAAACGTTTGGGTATATTAACAAAATCCTTTATAATTCCATCTGTTATATTAATGTGTAAGTAAAATTCTGAGGACAATTTATCACCTCCAGAAATACGTGAATAAAATGATAATTTATATACAAGGTTGTGCATAGCCTCTAAGACATTCGGTCGAGCTGACTGACTGACTCACTCTGTCACTTAAACGACGATTACCGGAGCCATAACCTGTCTACCGGGGGAGGGGTGAGAGATGGGAGGGAAGGAGGGGAGGGGGAGGGGGATAGGGGGAGGAGGGGGACGGGGAGAGGGGAGGGGGAAGAGGAGGGAGGAGGGATGGTGTCATGACTATCTACAACTCACGAATTGCTTGGAAGAGTAAACGTCAGCCATTTTGTTTAATAATACAAGGAAATTGAATCCACAAAGAAGATTTTTTTTCTTCATTGTTGCACCGAGTGTGGGGTGTTTTTTTTTTAATATGCAACAGTGCAAAAAATTGGATAAAGGTATACAGTAATTGTCCACGTCAGGGTGTATCGGGTATTACAACGATGTAATTGTATTAAACTTAATTCGATTATTCCACTTGGGTCTAATTGAACTGACAGGCGTTTGCAATTACCTTATCAGACAGGTCATTAATTTTTCTCTCACCCATCCGTTATTTTTCATAATATATGCAACACAGTTTTTTTCAGTGTCACAGATTAAGCGAACATTAAACACATGAAAAAAACTTGTATTAATCATTACAAAATCAATTTAGTTTGAATTATAATTTATAATTAATCCAAAGGTTCATTAGTTATCCGCGTGGAGGTGTTATTTACAGGTAAGAAGTGTGATCGTGTTGACGCATACAAGTTAAATACGGTATAGAAATATTCAGGCATAAAGACGGATTTCTGGTGACTCTCTCTCTCTCTCTCTATCTCTCTCTCTCTCTCTCTCTCTCTCTCTCTCTCCAGTTCCGTGACCTCACTCATCTTCAATTAACCCCACAAAGCGGCCAGTGTCACACAGCCAGGCGTCACCACCGCCATCTTGTGCTGCATTTTATCTGTTTTCTATTTCGTCAAACTGCAATGTTATAAGCCAGTAAAAATAGACCAACTTTGTATATAAATGATTTACACTTTACTTACTTACTTATAACTGCTGCGTCTCTTTACACACAGTAATGGTCTTTAAACATATACTGTTAAAGAGAGTCAAACGTTTACATATCGTAAATTAGGGACATAAGAAGGTTTGTACAGAGGGAGGGACCGTGAGGGCTGGCGGCGCTACACACAATGTGGGGAATGTGTCACCATCACACCTGGCGACACTGATGATGTGTCCTGACAGGTGAAGGTCTCACACTTACACCTAATACCGATGGATGATTTGGGCAACCATTAATTGATATGCAGTGTGTATATATATATATATATATATATATATATATATATATATATATATATATATATATATATATATATATATATATATATATATATATATATATATATATATATATATATAGTTATATACACAGTTATGTGAAACGATGCATTATGTATTTGTTGTTTTGCAATATTATCTCATTTCCATTGATGAATATATTTTTGCGCTATAGCGAGTCTACATCTCTGCAGCGTCTATTAGCCAACACAACACCGGTACTGACAACATCCAATAACCCGAGGAGAGACGACAGATATTGCCTCTCTCTTGATGCCGTCTCTTCCCTCGGGCCTGAGCCATTATCTTCCATCATAAACCATAATCTTTCCCCTACAGCTCTTCTGCGTCCTATCTACCCCTTACCCCCCCCTTATTACTCCCCTATATCTCCTCCCCCTCACAGCCAGGAGAGGTGAGGGAAGTGAGGGGCACATTTGGTCGACACCCAGAGTCACAACATTTGGTGATGAGGATGACGTCTGCCTGTCACCCCAGCCTCATCACTCCCCTCCCCTCTCCTCCTCCTCCTCTCTCCAAAGTCGAAAATATAGAAAACTTCACGACTCTACATATCATCTTTACGTAGTGTTATCCTGGAGGAACACTGTCGCACATACATGGTCATACTACTTATATGTTTATGCTCGCACCTCTCACACCTGTAAACATTCCTTGTCTGTTTACTTCGGTCCAACTCTGGATTTTGGGTTAACAGTAAATTTGTCATGTGAAGTAACTTAACCATACGATTTATAAACGAGGGGTGATAATAAAAATGGAATTAGGAAGAGAACGAAGATATAAAAACGACACAATAGAATAAATCTACAAAGTGAAGGAAGAGTAAATATAGGAACAGCAAACATCAACATTACGGTAAAATTATCTCTCCTCTGGTACACTATCTCCTGTCTCTTGTCTCCTGTCTCCTGTCGCCTGTCTCTTGTCTCCTGTCTCCTGTCTCTTGTCTCCTGTCTCCTGTCGCCTGTCGCCTGTCTCCTGTCTCTTGTCTCCTGTCTCCTGTCTCCTGTCTCTTGTCTCTTGTCTCTTGTCTCCTGTCTCCTGTCTCTTGTCTCTTGTCTTTGTCTCCTGTCTCCTGTCTCTTGTCTCCTGTCTCCTGTCGCCTGTCGCCTGTCTCCTGTCTCTTGTCTCCTGTCTCCTGTCTCCTGTCTCTTGTCTCTTGTCTCTTGTCTCCTGTCTCCTGTCTCTTGTCTCTTGTCTCTTGTCTCCTGTCTCCTGTCTCCTGTCTCTTGTCTCTTGTCTCTTGTCTCCTGTCTCCTGTCTCTTGTCTCCTGTCTCCTGTCTCCTGCCTCCTGTCTCTTGTCTCCTATCTCTTGTCTCTCGTCTCCTGTCTCTTGTCTCTGTCTCCTGTCTCCTATCTCTTGTCTCTTGTCTCCTGTCTCTTGTCGCCTGTCGCCTGTCTCCCTGTCGCCTGTGTCCTGCTCTTGTCTCTTGTCTCCTGTCGCCTGTCTCTTGTCTCTTGTCTCCTGTCGCCTGTCTCCTGTCTCTTGTCTCTTGTCTCTTGTCTCTGTTTTTATGTGGGTTTCATCAGCCAATTATCTCCCTCTGGTGACTGATAAGCTTTTTATGTGAGACAACAAGAGACGGGAGGAGACCTGTGGTGCTTCCCCCTGATAGAGACCTTATACCTCCGTCACCTGTCTCCGTCACCTGTCTCGCTCTATCACTTAACACAACTTTAAACAATGTCTCTAAGGCCATTATATTCATCTACCTATTTTAATCATTACCTATGTCTGATATCAAGTAATTTGCATGTAGTGTATGATAATAATAATGATAATAATAATAATAATAATAATAATAATACTAATACTACTACTACTACTACTACTACTACTACTACTACTAATAATAATAATAATAATAATAATAATAATAATAATAATAATAATAATAATAGGCAGCTTATATAATGAACTACGTAATGTAATTCCCCTTATAAGCCTGACACCCTCATCCGCTGACTGGCACCCTCATGCCTCACTAATGAACCGGCGGCGGCACCCAAATGTGGCACTGGAGGACCTGCAGGCACTATTTACCAAACACACACCTTGGAGGTAAACACGTGTGATATTCCTGGATGTTTTCCACCTAATACGCACTGTGTGGTATTATTTACACATGTGTGCTTCTACTCAGGTGTGCCTTAGGTCATATGTGCCTGAGGTCATATGTGACTTTATTCATGTGTGCTTTTATACATTTGTTCCTTCAGTCATATATACCCTTAATAATATGTGCCTCTGCTCCACCACCCTCCAACACCACCTCCCTCCATCTCCACCTCCCCCATCTCCACCCCCTTACAAGGTCACCATGGAATATAGGCGCCACCCATGGTTGACAGGTGAGGGGAGAATACCTGCCTCCCTTATAAACACACATCCGCCAGTCAGCGTTACCACCCCCTGCCTCCCCCTCACTAACTCTCTCCCTCCCCCTTACCTTCTCTCCCTCACTCTCTCCTTCCTCCCTCCCTCACACATACACAACCTGTCACTACCTGAAATCGATATCCTTGACAGTGTGATTTTTATTATGGTAAATATTTACTAGTGGACTAATTACTTATCTGAGTGTTTGTGTGCGATACGTCAATACAAACTCGCAGTAATGGATGGCTCTACCTCTTTCAATCACCTAAAACTCTGCCTCGTGTTTTCTAGGACCCGCACTCCGTTTAGGTTCACATTCTTCCGTCATGGGAGTATTTTTAGGTGTAGTTTAAAGGCAGCGAGTCAAAGCGCGTACCCTGCAGGCTTGTGTACAGTAGGTCTGTCTGTCACACCACCGTTACCACGACCTGTGGCGTGTCTCTTAAAATATTGGAAATGGGGTTTCTTGAATTGTGCACACACACACACACATACGCACATCTACACACACGCGCATATAAACATACACGTACACACATATGCACACCTACACACACACAGACGTGTATATATATATATATATATATATATATATATATATATATATATATATATATATATATATATATATATATATATATATATATATATATATATATATATATATTAGTAAAAGATTAGAGAGTTAACACTGTTGTTTGTGGGCATCCCATCGGAATTTTATAGGCTTGTTATAGAGAATATTCATCCCTATTGCTCCACCCAACTCTATTTCATGTTTATTCGCATCGTGTCAACAGCGAATTGTCATATTTTAAATATTAAAAAGAGAGGCTTGTGGAATGCCATTGCTCTATGTATAATATTTTGCGCGCCGCTTTTAAAATGATTTTTCAAGCGTTTTCCCAGTACATAAATTGTGTTTTTTACAGTTTTCGATAAATATTGCATCTGGATAACCTTACTATTGGGTGCACTGTGTTAAGGAAACACTTATATACGGTGTGTTGTGTACGTGCTCTTCTTTATGTACGTACATACATACTTGTGTGTGCGACATAAACTGATATACTGTGTGTGTATATATATATATATATATATATATATATATATATATATATATATATATATATATATATATATATATATATATATATATATATATATATACACGCAAGCACACTCACACAAAATAACACCCCCCACACACACACACCCACACACACTGAACAAAAACATGAGAGCAGTATGCCTCATCTGGGTCAACTATATATCTTTCCAACAGGCCTGGCGGGGGCCCCGCTGTTATTGTATGACCTTAACGCAGTACCTGTTATTAATACCTGTTATTCTCCTAATTGAAAAATCACCAACTTTTGTATATATTTTTTGTGCATAAATGAATTAATCTGTTAATGTAAAGATCATGGATTTTTTTTTAAAGGTGAAAAGTTTGAACCTTTTAGCAGTGAGGGAGTTGAGGAAGAGAAGGGGGGAGGAGGGAGTGACGGAGAGAAGAGGAAGAGGAGAATGAAACGGGGGAGAGGGGAAGAGAGAGGGGAAATGGGGCGGAAAGAGGGCAGTTGGAGGATGGATGGGGAATGGGGGAAGGATGGAGGGCAAAGGTGGAGAGGAGAGAGAGAGTAAAGAGAAGACAGGGGAAGGGAAAGGCAGTAAGGGAGTGAGAGGGGAAAGAAAGAGACGAGGAGGAGGAAGAAGAAGAAGAAGAAGAAGAAGAAGCAGAAGAGAAGAAGAAGAAGAAGAAGAAGAAGAAGAAGAAGAAGAAGAAGAAGAAGAAGAAGAAGAAGAAGAAGAAGAAGAAGAAGAAGAAGAAGAAGAAGAAGACGAAGAGGAGGAGGGGGAAAAAGAAGCAGAAGAGAAAGATGAAGAAGAAGAGGAGGAGGAGGAGGAGAAGGAGGAGGAGGAGGAGGAAGGAGGTGGTCACTGGTGTGGGGGACAAATGTGGTCATCAGAAGGAAGTGTGTGGAAGACGCCCTCATGGGTGGTGATGTACACCAGACTCCCGTCATCTTCAGTCTCCTCACGCCCGCCTCCACACCATCTGCCCAGCTGCTGACCGAATATGTGGGCTTCTGTCTCTGTTTCTCCGTCAGTCTGTCTGTCTGTGGGTCACTTTGGCTGTCTGTCTCTCTGTCTGGGGGTCACTTTGGCTGTCTGTCTCTCTGTCTATGGGGTCACTTTGGCTGTCTGTCTCTCTGTCTGGGGGTCACTTTGGCTGTCTGTCTCTCTGTCTGGGGGTCACTTTGGCTGTCTGTCTCTCTGTCTGGGGGTCACTTTGGCTGTCTGTCTCTCTGTCTATGGGGTCACTTTGTCTGTCTGTTTCTCGTATTAGTTATTGGAGGCAGCGGGACATTTTCACCTTTCATTAACCGACAGATTATATCCTCATCTTCTCCATACATCACTAATTAATTTACCTGTCAAGGACGTTTCTACCTCCTGGAGTCCTGACATGTAGTTGACTTCTTTCTTATTATCTAAGTCATCTCAACAACGTCTTTTCCAGCTTCTTTTGGATTACAGTGAAACCTCTATTTAACGGACTATATAGAAATGAAAGTCCGTTATATCGAGGGTCTATTTGACGGACTCTATGGAAACAAAAGTCCGTTTTAACGAGGGTCTTATTATGAAACCTCCATCTAACGAACTATATAGACATGAAAGTCCGTTATATCAAGGGTCCATCGATGTGAACCCCCGCCAATCTCACGGATTGTATGGAGAGAGAAGTCCGTTTTATGGAGGCTTCACTGTATGAGTCTAAACTTCCCAGTAGTTTGTGTGAGGTCTTGGTCGACTGGGAGGACTTACCACCAGCCACCCAAGACTGACTTTCTGGTGTCGCCCCACAAGAACGATTCATATCTGGATTATATAGTTTATTTTATACGATTTTCGACATTGATTTAGACGATTAAATTAAATTACGTTACGTTAGGTTAGGTTAGGTTAGGTTAGGTTAGGTTAATCGAAAATCGTTTATTTGAAAATCGTATAAATGACATATAATCGACTTTCCGTTTTTTCCAGTACACTTAGAGTCAATCACTTACGATAAAGGACTACTAATTCTATACTACTGAACGACCATCATAACACAGACACACACTCCTACATAACCAGAACTAAACACGTACTTTAACCTGTAGGAGACGTCAACAAACCATTGAAGTTTTTTATTGACAAACATAGTGCTTCCGTCAGCCACACAGTTTACTGAGTGCAAAAAAAAGGGATACAATCTTAATATGCTTCCACATTCGCCATTAGGAGATGAAGTATAGCCATTTCACACACAGTGTGCCAATCTGTCCTTAAAAGGTTCTATCTTCTACACAGTCGAGGACGTGAGTAGTTTGAAGTGTATGTATGGCCAGCTAATAATTTTACATTTGTGAAGTTTTGTTTACATCTGCCTTTGATAGAAATATACTGCCAGAGGTGTACTTTATATCCTAACCTTAATCTAGCGTGGTTACAAATATCTTGTAATTCAGTGATCTTGTTACTGTTCATATGCTGTTACGCGTTTCACTGATACATCTCATCATGGTAAACTATGGATCGACTAGTGCCTGCTATAATTGTTCACTTGCGTCAAACCCATCAATAAGTTCTTCCTAATTACAGTTTTATGTAGGTTCTTTTTTGACAGACCCAAATTGTATTCAACGGTGTCTTTGTTAGACGTAGCCTATGAGGGGCATCGTTCCTGTTTATGAGGCCTATGAGAGGATCCACGGTGTTCTTTAGACGCGAGTTTCAAGTGAGGCATCAACTCTGATCGTTTTATGAGGCCTAGTGAGAGGGGATCCATAATAGTTTGACCCCGACACCCCGAGTCAACAAGGCACGCATATTTGTGTCTGGCTCCAGAGACAAGAGCGCGACAACCTGAGCTCGAGGGTACCAAGGCAAGTAGTGAGGATAGAGAGTCAGTGATGATGAGACTGTCAGTAACAGTGGTTTCATGAATTTAATAGGAGTATGGCAACAATTCATTTGTAGAGTGATGCCCAGTTGTTAATTCAACTCCTTTCTCAATTATATTACCGTCAGGTTGAGCCACACATAGCACTTCCAGCCTCCACAGGCGGTAGCT